GGTGCAAAGCAGGCAGTGAGCCAGTCGTACTGCTGACTTTTACAATGTTGAATTCACCCAGAGTTGCAAATCCATTTCATTTATAAGTAACGCAGGAATTAAGGAAAGCCAGCGAGAGAGCTATACGAATCTTTGGGTTAGATATGTGAAATCATAGAAAATTGGTTCATAATTGAGTCTCTTAATCTACCTTTTTTTTTTAGCTACGTAGACAATGTGAAAAAAAATAAACAAAACCGTGACAATGTCCTTGGTTTATGTGTTTTAACCTATTTACATACTGTGAAAACGAATTTTTATACTTTTGCTAATGTTTGTGGTTTTCAATATCAACTGAGGTTTTTTTTTTCTTAATCAGTTAACTCTTCCATATAGTTTCTATTGAGCTTGTAAATAAACTAAGGGGTGGGGGGTGGGGGAAAGCTTTGTAAATAAGTGGGTTTTTTTTTTAAAGCAACAGAACACCTCACCATTGGTTCTGTATTCAAGAATGAATGCTTTTTAGTGACAGGGAGGATAGTTGTTTTTTAAGAATATTTGCCCTAAGAAAAGGAGATTTAGGGAATTGCAATAGTCTTCAACCTTTCATATACCCTGTTCCCCTTGAAAATAAGACCTCCCCGGATAAATAAGCCCAATCGGGGTTTTGAGTGCATGTGCTAAAATAAGCCCTCCTCCAAAAATAAGCCCTCCCCGAAAATATTTAACCGCATGCGCAGCTGGTCCCCACCATTTCCTGCGCGGGGAACATGCCCCATGCACCCTGCATGCACCTGCTAGCCACATGGAAGTGGCCTTGCGGAGGCCACTTCCACAAACCCTAGCTACCACGCCCCTTCTCTTAGTGGCGGCCACTAGGGTTGGCAAGAGTGTGCCAGAAATAAGAGACAGAACTTCCACCCTCCTCTGGATCTGCTGATTGGCGGGGCGCAGGGTGAGATCAAGGGGCCTTAAGACCCCCTAAAAAAGTAGGGCCAAATGCTTATTTCAGGGGGTCAAAAGAAAATAAGACCCTGTCTCATTTCCGGGGAAACACGGTATATATCACACACGTGTTTCACAGTAGAAATTAACTTGAGATCAGGTTGAGCACACCTAATCTCCCCAAACCACAATTCATCCTTGACCTTCTCTACTCCGTTCC